TCTGAGAAAGCTTCAAGCGCTTTTAAATCCATATACGAACTTCGATTTCCGAACTAAGAGCAAAATGACCTTCATGAGCTTTTAGAAGATCCTTTGAGACTGTCTAGGAGACACATATTTCTTTTATATTTTGCAGACAAAACCTTTTTGTAATAAAAACCTTAGAGCTAAAATTTCTTTCTTTCGTATTCAGAAATTGATGTTACGAGCAATTAATTCAATTGCAGCTAAAATTTTCTTTTGAACTGTTATTATTGAAAAGTTTCAAAGGTTATTTTATTCAGTAATGCTTTAGATATTTGCATCTTTCCATTAAGAAATCACGATATATCGTATCCGTAGTCAAGAGAAATTAAACTTCCTTAGAGTGAGTTAGAAATTTATGTGTATTGTATTAAATTATGCAGTTTCCTTACATTTAAACAATGTGAGATGTATCGAATACGTTTCTCGCTAAAACAATTGTCTCCTCCATTATTATTCCATCATTTGGATGCTTCAGTTTCTTTTGCTTTTTTTTATTCGCGGAATCGAGGGCTGCTGTCGCATGGCGATCCCATTTAAAACTTTCAGACGATGTATTACAGAAGAAGACGTTTTTAGGACCGGACCTGCTATTAGTCTCGTAATTCAGTTTTTCGTATCCCTTTTCAAACTGTTGTAACCAAATGTATTATTCTTAAAGAAAACATCTGATGTGTACACCACATGACTTCCTTGTACGGAATATTAAATTATACGCATTTTTTCTTGCATTTCATTTAAACTTATTGGATTGAATTAAATCTACTTCGCCGCCAGCGCATAAACCACAATAGAATAAATGTATTCTTTAAAATTCACTATATTTGTTTACCATAGCGACACTCTGGCGTTAGGTTCACCTAACAGTATTATATTTCGTTCATGTTATAACTCATAATGCACAAAATTGATATCATTTAAAGAACTATCTAATCGTTGCCACATGTTCTATTCAAATACTATAATAAAGCTAGAACGATGCATAAAAGAAATTAAGCAAGCAAAACAAAAAAGAAACAGTTTTTCACAGACGATTGAGTATTTCTCATTCAATTAATTCAGTTCTCACTTCGCGACAAGGCAAAATGCATAAAAAAACTCAAAATACCTGTATTAAAAATACGAAGTAAATCTTAAACACTTATTTTCCTCGAAAAAATTCCAGAAAGGATTAAGCATGATTTAATTCGCAATAATAAATGAAGGCGTTATCTTTGCTGTTGCGAAGCTAAGTTTCTCTAGATTGGCAACAAATCCACTACTCTGCTGTTTCAAATGTAAACAAGCAATGGACGCCATCAAAAAAATTATTAGGCTTAGCGGCATTTAAACAACTTTAAAATTGTTGATAATTCTACAAATATTGCATACAGATTTACTAAAGGAATAAAAACCTTAACCGGAAGATAAGAACAACATAATTCAATCATTTTTAAAGCAAAAAATGTACAATTTACAAACATATAAGAGTAAAGAAACTGAGATCACTGACCCGGGTAATAAGAGACTGGATATATATATAAATATATTTATATACGTTTGGTGCGGCCGATTGCAACCAAAATACGAGGTGCACATCTACATGTTATAGCAGTCCTATATACAAAATTTCAACGTTCTGAAGCTACTCGTTTTGGAGTTATGCGAGATACGTACGTACGTCGTTCGTACAGACGCCACGAAATATTCTCTTGAGAATTAATTTTAAAGAAGTTTTATAATTTTTTTGAAGGAAAGGAGTATTTTATTCTGTCCTAACGTACACATATCAGGCAAAAACAACGTTAAATTGCATTCGAATATGAATATTTTCGTTGAAACATGCTGCCTGAAACTTTTCGCGATTACAATACTTCCTTTTTACTTCGTACAAGGAAGTAAAAATTAAAAAATACGATAAATTTCAGATTTTACATTACGCCCAAACGAGAGTAAAATTTTAAGGCAAAATGAAAGGAGGTTTGATTTATTTGCAACAAGTAAAAATTATTTTCCTGTTATTACTGCTTATATAATTCCGTACTATTTCTAATTAATTTCTATTTTTTTACTATCAGTTCTCAGTTTTGATACCTGCTTATAATCTCTCTTCATCACGTTTATCCATTTAGGCTTTGGAGGCAATAGCCTCTCTTGTTTTGTTTTCTCCCTACTATCGTTTCCTGGAATTATTACATTATCAATTAATTCTAAGAATCATTCTTTCTTCTGTGTTATAAATCATAACTAGCACTTTTACCATTACAAAGTATGTGAAATTATACACGATATTTTAAAATATAAATAGAGCTTTGTAAAATATGTATATAACTTAATTTAAAAAAGTCCAAAGCTATACTCCGATTTGTCATCTTTTGCATTAAAAAAAGTATTAGTACTAGAGGTCTCGAAATTCAATCTATGTCTGAATCACTTTTCAAATTGTTTCCACTACATGTTATTACGACATATTATTTAAATCAAATTAAAAAAATATTAAATCTGAGAGCTTTAAAATCTTTAAAAATTATTACAAAATATTTAAAAACACCATATCTTTAGAATTTCCAATAGACAACACCAATAGTTTCCAATAGTAAAAAAATATTAAATCTGAAAGCTTTAAAATATTTAAAAATTATTACAAAATATTTAAAAACGGCATATCTTTAGAATTTCCAATAGACAGTCTCGTTTTGGCATTTTGCCTTAATTCACTACAAGCGTTGTTTCACTTTTCAAATTGTTGCCACCAAATATTATCGCCTTGTATTATATTTAAATAAATTAAATGAGGACGAATGTGCATAAGTGTTTGTATGTTTCTCGCATTTTAATTTTAAAAAAGTTACCTAGATCCATCCAATTTTGAATAATGTAATTCTCCTGAGAATATGGGCATCTGGAAGCCCAATTTGAAATTTGGAATTTGTTTTATTATCGATTTCATATTTTGTAAAACGTTAAGAAATTTTGAAATTTTGATTAACAAACTCAAGGAGCAATGGCAACGTTGTACTGAAAAAACATTTTTATCTCCAGCGTGTGAATCTCTGTATCGGAAATTCTAAAGATATGCTCATTTTAAAATTATTCTGCGATATTGCTCTAGAGCTGAATTTTATGGTATACGTGCGTTAATATTTACTAAATATAACATATTTAATAATTAAAGGTAACACACAAAATGTTAAAAAAACACTCTGGACGTAATTTAAAATCTGAAAGCTTTCAGATTTTTTATCCGTACAGTTTTGCCATTGCTCTGTTTGAAAGTATGGAATTTGTTGATCAGAAATTCGTTAAAGATTTGCAAAATTTGAAATAGATTATAAAACAGATTCAAAATTCAAAATTTGGGTTTTCAATAGCCCGTGTTCGGTTGAAGGACTACGTTATTAAAAATTCGATGGCTCTAGGTGCCGTTGTTTTTTCACAATGGGAAAAATACTCATGCCTTCCTGCAAATTCATCATTATATAGTTTCTTTAAATATAATACAGGGAGATAATATTTCATGGCAACTGTTTGAAACGTGAACGGCAGCAAAATTCCGTTTTGAAACTAACAACCCTTTGAGTCTATTGCCCCTTGGAACTAATAATAAAGAATTTGTTAGAGAATATAGCTTGGATTTAATAATAAAGAATTTGTTAGAGAATATAGCTTGGAGCTAATAATAAAGAATTTAAGACACAATAACACGCCGAATAAATACTGATTCAGAAGTCAAACAACAAAAATCAGCGTTAATTCACAAAATTTTCACAGGACTAGTTTCGATGGTTTTGCAGCAGATGGTTTTGCATTTTGCGGTTTTGCAGCTGAAGATGATGGTTCGGTAAAACCATCGAAACTAGTCCTGTGAAAATTTTGTGAATTAACGCTGATTTTTGTTGTTTGACTTCTGAATCAGAATAAAGAATTTGTTAGAGAATATAGCTTGGAGCTAATAATAAAGAATATTAGCTTGGCGCTAATAATAAAGAATTTGTTAGAGAATATAGCTTGGATCTAATAATAAAGAATTTGTTAGAGAATATAGCTTGGATCTAATAATAAAGAATTTGTTAGAGAATATAGCTTGGAGCTAATAATAAAGAATTTGTTAGAGAATATAGCTTGGATTTAATAATAAAGAATATTAGCTTGGAGTAATAATAAAGAATTTGTTAGAGAATATAGCTTGGAGCTAATAATAAAGAATTTGTTAGAGAATATAGCTTGGATTTAATAATAAAGAATTTGTTAGAGAATATAGCTTGGATTTAATAATAAAGAATTTGTTAGAGAATATAGCTTGGAGCTAATAATAAAGATATTAGCTTGGAGCTAATGAATTTGTTAAGAATATAGCTTGGTTAATAAAGAGATAGCTTGGAGCAATTAAGTGGAGTAATAATAAATTTGTTAGGAATAAGCTTGAGCTAATAATAAAGAATATTAGCTTGAAGCTAATAATAAAGAATTTGTTAGAAGGTCCTTAAGTGTTTTCTTTTATGCTTTAGAAATGAAAAATGACCAATGCCCTGGCTGGAATCCTAATTAGGACCTGTCGAATACACGCCGAGTGTGCAACCGTGTCATGATGGAGGAATACTAAACGGAGACAGAAAATACCTCAGAAGCTCTTCCTTTTAAAGGGCTCTGGAGACTAGGGGACCCATTCGCCAAATCCTGGTGGTGGAGATTCATTTAAATACACCTAAAGTTGTCTATTACGACGACACTTTTTCCACTTTTGTTCGGATAAATGTTTCTCATAAAGAATTCTGCAGCGCGTCCTGTGTTCGGCGATATTGCATAGAGAAAGACGACGCACATCAGCTTTTTTTTGCCTTTTCAAGAATGAAATCAGTATTAATGACTTTGTTTACTGAACATTTTAATGATTTTACAACTGTCATTTTACGTCACGAATTTTCTTTTAACATTCAATATCTCACCTTGTACAGACATTACGTAGTTTGGAAGCAGGAGTGATGAAAAATGAGCAACGCCTTCGCTGGGATTCGAACCACGGATCTCTGGAATAAGAGACCAGCGCGCAGACCACTACACCACGAAGGCACGCTAAGAAGACTGTAGAAATACCTTATAACCTTTGCAACACTCAAAGCATCACGTTTTTTAGTTTGATGTGTATTGGAACAATTTTTCACTTGAAGCCAGGTTTTTTTTTTCCTTTCTTGTTTACAATATTACCTATTGTAGCTTTAGATTTAGAAATCCTTTGGTTGTCACAGTTTTTTGCAATGACTAGATGTGAATAATTTCTTCGGAAAGAGCACAGACATAGCCTTACATCCACTGTTCCTTTAAAATCGCCATTTTGTATGTAAACAAAACTGTCAAGTAGTAAATGACAATTAATACTTTCAAAAATGTAGTTGTATTTAAAAATCAAATTTCCAAGCAGATGAATTTTTTTAAAGCAAGGCAAAGTCGCCTAAAATGTGTACAAACAGCCTCTACGAGAAAACAATTCAAATTGACATTACATACTCGGGAAACACCAAAATTCTATCTTGAATATTGAGAGTATTGAAATAAATTGACTACATTGAGAATTGAAAGGTCAAAGTAATTTAAATATTTAACTGTTGATAATACATATGTTGAAATCTTACAAATTTCTTTCGTTTTATTTCTCAAATGAATCGCTCGGAGTCCAATTATGTAGCATTATGAACCATTTGCTAAAAGTGTAGCAGTTGGTAAACAACAGTTAAGAAAATGTCTTAACTGTTGTTTACCTACTGCTACACTTTGAAAAATTATCAGGAAAAAAACTTAACTAATCCAACTTCTTAACTTTACTAGTCTGATATTAAGTTTGTTGGTGAACTTATTCCTTTGAGATTGCAACATTTAAAAGACCTCTTACAGTCACTTTCTTAGAAGCCATTAAAATGGAATTATAAAATTGGTTTCAGAGGGAATATAAATGTATTCGCGGTTGCGAAATGTTAAAACCAAGATTATTAATATTATAAGTTATAGATTACCTGAGAATTTAACATCATCTAATACCTGAATTTCAGATGTTCTCCTTAAGAGGGCTTCGTAGCAATTAAACATTTTCAGGGAAATCGTTATGTTAAGAGATGACAAAACTTTAGAAAACAATCTGATGTGAATACCACATGACTATCTTACACGGCTTATTAAATTGTTCACACTTTTTCTGCATTTCATCTAAATTTATTTACTCAAATTTCAATAGAGATATATTTCTCATACAGTCAGTTCTATTTTCTCTTCGCGGCAAAGTAAAAATACATAAACACTCAAAACATCATCATTAAATGTAAAATACAGATAAAAAATAAAACACTAAATAGAGATTAAAAACAGCAATTTTTTATAATTAGAGTTTCTAGGCCAGCGTTTCAATTAGGCCAGCGGGCAAGAAGATTGATTTTTTGGTGCCCAAAACTTGAGGTATATTTTCGGTCCCACTCGTAAAGACGACAATGGTGCGAAACTGACTTAATTCTTATGTTACTAATGTTACTTCAAATGTAAACGAATGTCTGCTTTGTTAGTCTTAGCACTAATTAAAAATCTGTTAAATTATCGATAACAGATTACCTATTGCAACAGATAACCTTACGGCATAAAAACCTTCAGTGGAATCTTAGAAAAACATAATTCAATCAGTTTTAAAGCAAAAAAAGCAGAACTTTACCAACATATAAGAATAAAAAGACCAAACAAAGCCTGGTATCAGAATGATTATATATATATATATATATATATATATATATATATTACGTATATACATATATATATAGATATTTCGTGCGGCTGGTTGCAAAGCAAAATTGAGGTGTGCGACTATATGTTATAGCAGTCCCGTACACAAAATTTCAACATTCTACGGCTCAAGTAGCCAAGTAACAGAGAGGAGGAAATTTTGATTTGAATTTTCCCCTAAAGTGTTTTATTATTTCACTTACGTTTTCAATTCTTTGAATAGAGTTTTCTTTATATAAAGGATAACAAATTTTAATGAGAATTTGTTTTTTTCCCTTGCTTTGCGAAGAGAGCAGAATTTTTTGGTTTGAACTATTATAATAAAATACACTGAAATGGTCCATCGGTTAATTCAGAATACAGAAAGCAACGATTTATGTGGAACAGAGATTTTAACTGATTTCAGTGTTCCTCCTCCTGACGAAGTGGCATTGAAGTTGATTCAATTCCTCTTCTGTTATGTTCTTTTTTAAGTTTCAGTGTTTTTTTTTCTTTGGAAATGGGATATTGCTTGGTTAAAGTGTTTTGGTTTGAACATATTTTAAATTCTTTTTTGCATTTAGGAAATTATTTTTTTTTGCATATGAAATTCTTTACGTTTGAATTTAAATTTTTGATCTTTGTGAAAAGTTGGTTCCAAATTTTTTACTATATGCCTTCACTGCCTTCACTGATGAGTTTTCAGCAGGCATGATTTTATATTACCTAATTAAAAATTATTTTGTACTTATACATATATATATATATATAATTACAAAATAATTTATAGATATATATTTGGTGCTGCCGATTGCAACCAAAAACGTAGCTGCTCAACTGCATGTTATTTGTATCCTGTATACAAAATTTCAACGTTCTGAGGCTACTCGTTTTTGAGTTATGAGAGATACATATATACGTACGTAGAGATGTCACAAAAAATTTCTTCTGAATCCATTTTGAACCCATTTTACAATCCGTTGGGGGAAAACGTTTGAGTCTTTTATTCTATCCGTGCACTCCTGTTCAAAAACCCTTGTTCAAATGGATTGAGAGCCTTCAAAATGGATATTTTCGCTGAAATGTGATACCAGAAATTTTCGCGATTACAATATTTTCTTTACTTCTTACAAAGATATAAAAAGTTGTACAATATGCTGCAAAATATAGTTCAGATATAATACATTTAAATTAATTAAATGTATACAAAATTAATTGAATTAACAAAAAAATTAATTGAATGTATACAAAATAAGAAATAATGTAAAATGGAATCGGAAATTCAAAAAAATCGGTAGTTCTGGATACCGTCGTTTATTCACAATGCGAGGAGCATTCATACGTACATGCAACTTCTTCATTGCTTAATTTTGTTTGGCATAAAACTTGGCAGTACCATTGTGTGGTAACAATTTGAAAACTGATCCGAACAGAAAAGTACAAGCGCGATAAAGTGAAAATTCCAAGGAAGTGATATAAAGTATCTTCTCCCTCCTTTCTCCATGCCCTCGTGGTATATCTGGAAGCAAACTCAACGCCTATTCGAGAGGTGCAGGCTTCGAGTCCTGGGAAAGGTGCTGCACATTTTTCAAGTCTCCTTCAAAATAGCTTAATGACTATAAGTGACGCCTTAACTAAAAAGATAGTGGAAGCCGCCCAATTGAGAGTTCCGGGGTTCAAACCCCGACTAGAGCATTGCACATTTTTCCCTTTTCCTGCTTCAAAGTAACCTAATATCTCTACACTGAAATTGCAAGAATCTAAAACTTTTAACACAAATTCCCATTCTTCACGATCTGAAAATATAATATTTTTTCAGTTATTTACAAGAAAATATTAAACTAAGCACAAAGAATCATATCTGTTATACTAATGCCTCTTGCACCATAAGTACAAATTAAGGCTAAAGTTACCAATTCTCAGCATAGCACCAATAAAGGCATCAAATAAGGACAAAGAACTAAATCTCCTATACTAATGCGTCTTGCACCAAAAGTGCAAATTAAGGCTAAAGTTACCAATAATCAGCATAGCACAAATAAAGGCATCAACTAAGGACAAAGAACTAAATCTCCTATACTAATGAGTCTTGCACCAAAAGTGCAAATTAAGGCTAAAGTTACAATAATCAGCATAGCACAAATAAAGGCATCAACTAAGGACAAAGAACTAAATCTCCTATACTAGTGAGTCTTGCACCAAAAGTGCAAATTAAGGCTAAAGTTACCAATAATCAGCATAGCACAAATAAAGGCATCAACTAAGGACAAAAAACTAAATCTCCTATCTGTGTCTTGCACCAAAAGTACAAATTAAGGCTAAAGTTACCAATAATCAGCATAGCACAAATAAAGGCATCAACTAAGGACAAAAAACTAAATCTCCTATACTAATGAGTCTTGCACCAAAAGTGCAAATTAAGGCTAAAGTTACCAATAATCAGCATAGCACAAATAAGGCTAATAATTCCTTCCTTAATTTAGATTCTCGTTCTCTATTGAAACTCACTTAATTTGCTTTTGTAATGAAGATGATGAAAAGTAGAATTACAGAAAGAATTTAACGTAATAAAATAACGTTTTAATTAACACAAATTTCATAAGTAAATTTTGGGCCCACCAGCGGCCGAGCGGTAAAGTCGCTGAACACTGGTAGTTCGGTTCGAGGTTCGAATCCCGCGAACAGGCGGCTGCATGGGCGTTTTCGTGGTTTTTCCCATGTGTAACGTGTATACGAGCCAGTTTCCCTTAGAAAGTCCTCCCCGAAGGCATCCCTCCCCTTAGGCAGATAGCCCTCGAGGCTTTGCCGTAATCACACACACATAAGTAAATTTTTGATTACTTTTACACATACAATTTTGTCTAACCACATACGAATGACATAAGGCCAGTGTTAATCATGAAATAGTATCTGTATTCCATGATAATGATGAATACTACTGACTGTGTGATACTGAGAAGAGCTGTACGAGTATTTTTGTGAAAAGTTCCAGAATTGTGAAGGTAATCATTTGGTAAAATAAATTTTACCTAGATAACATCTGTTATCTTGGCATTCAATTTATTATTAACCCATATGCACGCAACGATGTATAAGTAATATTAAATAAACACTAAATGAAAATGTAAATAAATTATTTTGTTCCTTTATTTTACAACACAACTCAGGCATTGCGCAACCTGGGAGCAATAAAGTTAAAAATATAAATCAACTTATGAAATTATTCAAAATCTGTAGACAATGTTTCAGCTTAAAACCTTTCTTAAATATTTCAGAACATTAATAAACATTGATCAGCTGAGTTATCCCCTTGTTATTCAGTTTTGTTTCTT